CTTTATTGTAAGCTACAGCGCTGAAGCTTCTACCCCTCCCCCCCCCCCGCAAGCTCACTCGCCAAAGGTCTCAGTCCTGCTTGGGGCTTTGGGCTTGGCAAAAATGATGTATATTGGGGTAATGTAGGGGTTATATACGGACAATGGAAAATAGAATGGAAAATGATTGTGATTATATAGGATGGCAAAGAAAATGTAAACTACTGTAATTGGATTATATAGGGTTTAGGGCTTAGGGTTTATATGGGGGTAATATAGGGATAATACCCCGATAACGGAGAATCAAATGGAAAAGAAAATGGAAGTAGGGGTTTATATAAGGATAATGGAAAATGGAAGCTACTATAGTATATTCGGGTAATATTGGGATAACGGAAAATAAAATGGAAACTACTGTAGTATGTTGGGGTCTGATGTCTGCAAGGCGTGAATCTGCAGGACAAGTTTTGACATACCGAGAGAGCATCCCCTGATAACCTAATCCCTCCGCTGACTTCTTGCAGGCGCGAAAAACATACTTAGGCAAGTTATAAATAGTAGGACAGCAGAACCAAAACAGAACACAACTTGCAGCCGTTGGTGTGAGGCCTGAGGACTTCTTTCGACTTCTTTCCGGACTGTAGTACAATCTCCTTCCCTACTGCGGCCCACCTTTAATTTCTAGGACCTAGGCCTTTCATCTAACCTTGACCGATACCCCCTCGAGATATCATGGCTCCTCCTGCATGCAGGATGCCCGGACCTTGGCTTGGCAGATTTGGGTACCAGTGCAACTCTTTTTGCCGCAGTCAGCGCTGTACTAACATGCTTGTTAGCTAAGCAAAACCGATGTGGTATGTCATTCTCCTCGCTACAGCGGGCATTGCAGCTCGACTGCTTTAGAAGAAGCTGTAATCACCTCAAAATGCATTGGCGGCGAGTCCCCCTTCCCAGACATACTGAGGGCCCAACGGCATGGCTTTAAGGGACCACCAGTTTCGAAGTTGTTGCTTGCGATTTTGGATGTGTTGCACGCAAGTCACCAGGTATGCTTCAAATGGGTTCCTGCTCTGAATATGATTGAGGGTCTGAAGCTCAGATCATGCTTTCTCTCAAGCCCCTATACCCTGCTCACGAGAAGCTCGCCTGCTTAGGCCACCACACGAGTGTGCCGTGACAGCCTCGAAACACGCTGGCCTGGCTTCTCACTTCTCAGAGTTGAAGGTCTATGTAACGTTTACCCCTTCCCCCCAACCAACAGAGAGACCCCTGCAAGGATTAGTGTCCCTTGAAGGAGGCTATACTAGATTACATAATTTTTTCCCTCCCGCGTAGCTGAAGCAACTCTGCAGGGAACAAATGAAGCATCCAAAATGCACAGTTGAAAACCAACTTAATTCACAGTATACGCAGGCGCGGATGAATAGGAAGACCCAGAACAAACAACTTAGAATCCTCTCTCACCCTAGATTACATATTAGTTGGGTTGGGTTGGGATGGGTGGGTTTTTTCGAATGGTACTCCACGTATAAAGCCGTGTAAGGACAATTGGAGCCTTTCATAGGCATTTTCACGGGCTTGTCTATGCCAAGGTATGCCCATTCGATCAACCTCGCGCATGGTGTATTTAGGGTTCGGTACAGAGTGTGACGCTTAGGCTTAGTCCCTTCCGCCCAACCCTTCCGCAAATACATAGAAATCCTGGTCCTAATCTGGCTCTTACACAATCTAATCATCAAGCTCAGGGAGAAGTATGGAAGGGATGGGATAAGGGTCATACTAGCCAGGTGCCATAGGGACCTGATTCTGGCCCGGCCTTGCAGACCTGGACCCCACATCCAATGGAGTATAAGGATTCTATAGTTGTTATATAGGGATAATGGAAAATAAAATGGAAACTACTACCTAGGGTATTGACCTACCCGTGGCGAAGTGTGAGAAAGGCAGTAGAATTTCTTCACATTTGTATGTTTACCACCTGATTATTGATGATCATCTGCATGATCATTTGGGCCTCTCTACCTTCAGTCCATAAACATGTCAAGTCTCGCTCAAACTTGGTTCCCAATAGTTGGATAGCCCCTCACCTCAACCTTGCGGAACCACAAAGCTATTTTCCAACAATGACCCAGAGATAATCCAGAGCCCAAAGCCTAAACCGAAACTCTCCTGCTAGATGCTAGATGTTAGGTATTGAACTAGATCTTGAGACCCAAAATCCTAAACTCTACACCCTACACCCTAGATTATAAATCCTAAACCCTAAACCCCTAAATCCTAAACCCTAGACCATAAACCCTAAAATCTAAGTCGTGGTGCCTGACTGCTCATCGGAGTCGGAGCCTATCCTCTTTCGCTTGGAGGCCGGCCTTGCCACGGGGCAGGAAGTTGGGGATCCCTTTCTGTGCGTAAACTTAGAGGGTTTAGGGTTGAGGGTTTATGGGTTTATGGTTTAGGGTTTATGGATTAGGATTTACGGTTTAGGGATTAGTGCCTAGGTTTTTACTAGGGAATAACAGAATATGTTGGAGCTACATAGGCATAATGGAAATTGGAAGCTACTAGAGTATGATAGGGCATATATTGGGACTATAGTAGGGAATAGGGGGAATATACTATACATAATATGGGGATGATGAGTATATTCCCCTATTCCCTACAAACTCCCAGGATTTGTATGTGCGTAAAGGGAGACCAAGAGGCCCTCACATAGCTTCGAAGAAAGATTGTGTAGAATCTTACTGTGATTGTTGCAAGCGTTGCGGTTAAAATGAGGGCACATGTTCAAAACCAGTGTACACAGACCGCCCCATGAAAGCAAACACGCAACTCCATCTAGGCCTCAAGGACAACAGTGACAGTAGTCTGTGAGGTTCCTGTGGATGTTTGTTTGGCGGACTTGTGTGTCCCTTGGTGAGGAGCCACATCCTTGTCTCTTGTTAGCCAAGGAATGGACGACGCAAATGATGTAGAGTTGCTGGGCAAGGTCGACTGAGTCATATAAAAATTGAATCAGCTTTCAGACTGAGGTGGACCCGGTGCTTCACAAGATATGCGCATACCTGCAGGTAGATTCCTGTTTGTTCCGATTTCAAGAGCCCCCGTGAACAATTTCAAGAAGTGCAATTCGTGGAATTTGCTTTGTAAAAGCGCTCGTAATTGGCCATTTTAGGTTGTCAAGAAGCCCTATGTCAACGTATTCGGTCTTACTTGGAAGTCCAGAAGCCGCTCATGCTAATCTGAAGGTATGCCTGACCCTGACAAATTTGGGCAGGTATCTAGAGAGTCACATTTCACAGACCCATCGCAGGCAATCTCGAATACACAGCCTACAGCTCAAAACCACGCAGCTGACGATGAAAGCATTGTTTTTGCAGCAGATAGAATAAGTAACGTCACGATGGGCATGATGCAGGTTTAGCAAGTCGAGAGTCCGAGGATTGAGAACAGTGGAAATGACCAGGCTACACCTAGAGATATGAGAACTTGACTCACGCAGTCCGAAAGCCACATGCAAAGATGGAAGCTGAGGGTGAAGGGATGGGTATTTATGTCAGAGGTACCTTGTGGCCGCGTAATATCAAGTGCTTGACTCAGAAAGTGCGAGCAGCCACTGTGCCCATGAACAACATGATAAGATCTTAGAGGGTCTTAGCACATTTTGGTGTCTGCCATATTGATTCTGGGAAGCAGTGCAGCCCATTCTGTGATGGCTGTAGCTGCCCATGATCTTCTATGGGAAATAAATGGGGGTTATAGTGCCGAAGAACCACATGCTACAATTTGTAACCCGTAACGGCCATTGCCTGAACCGTAAAGCTGCATTGCCTAGCTGCCGCCCCCAAAAAGTGTACTGGCTATGTAGGCCCCTAAGCCCCAGACCTTGGCCTCAAACTTAAACCCAATCCCCTTGAAAGGGTCAGGCTCTTAGTCAAGCCCGGGCATCCCACTGTGTCTGCTTGGCATCGTCAGAGCTGTCCTGCAAGTCCGTACACATTATTCTGGCTGGTTGAAAGCCCTTGCAGGTAAACACAAAGATGAATACTACGAAAAGGACGAAAAGATGAATACTACAAAAGGAACGTACGCACATGTACTAGAGTAGCTCTACATGAGCTATAGTCTAACCAAGAATTCCCCATGAATAACCTCTATAGTACTCCCCTATAAAAGAATCCCCCATATAACCCACCTTTAAGGAGGTTAGACTAAAACATCTTGACTTCAATGCCAAGACCCTGGCAACATACTGGGGGGTCGTAATTGGGCTTAAGCAGATCAACTAACTAATGTCTGGGCTGAATATCATAAGGGAGTGACAATTATATTTTGTTGCCGAGCCAGAAAAATCCCGGAAGACTACAGTTGATGTCTACTAAATTCGGACCCCGAAAAACTGTAAACAAGGTCCATCGGCAATAATACAGGGGTGATAATAATGATGTTGTCCGCCGAGACAGCGCGATTTCAGTATTTCCCTCTACTTGTACTTCTCGTACTATGCGCTGCACTACCTAGTCCTACCCCAACCCCCTGATTAATTATTGCGACCCCCCCTTCCATAGACCAAAACGCGAAACGAAATCGGGGGGGAGCGGGGGCATTCTTGTCACTGAAACATTATGGGTCCCTTTCTGGGGGTTCTCTGCAGGTTATGTCACGGGTACCATGCGGAATTATCCAGTTGGCCAAGAATATGCTATCAATGTCAATGCGTCAGACTGCAAAGCAACTCCTGTCTCAGCCCGAATCTTAACTTCTTGACTCCTGAATGCCGGTACACGGAAAACAAATCCTATTGCATACCCAGCGAGGTGCTAACATTCAGAGACCTGGGACTTACAATGAGGCCACAGAAGTGTAGCTAAAATGGGAGATAGCGTAAGTCCACTCATCCCATGTGTTCGAGATGCGGAAAAAGCCTCGTACTTAACAAGCCGCAGTCCCCGAAAGCTACTGACCCTTAGAGCTTAAGCTCGCCAGAGTAACCGCGGCAACTCACACGCATGTGCATTGACTTTTCAGTCGCGATATTTGCCCGTCTCTTCCGCTATCTGCACCTTCTTCTCCCGGAGCTCCTTTCGCTCCTCCGGATTGCTGATCTGGGGTCTAGAGCTTTGGGTTTCGGGTCGGTGCTCGCAAGCCGCTACAAATTTGTCTTGCAACACCTTCAATATCTTTCGCACCTCACTACGGCACACCACAAACATGTAGGCTCATCGAGTATCTAGTTCATTGCGTACTGAACTGTTTCACTTTGACCCAAGCGTCCTTTTGCCGGGAAGCCAGCTTCTCACGCCGCTGCTTCCGGTAGTCTTGCTGCAGTTGATCCGCAATCGCCTGTGCCACACACGATGCACTCTAGCAAAATCCTTTTGCGCTTCTAGATGTAATGTGTGAAGCCAAAAAGGTTCGCAAAACCTTCTTGACATGTGTCAAACTCTGAGTGACTGACAGCCAGAATTTCTATTGAGAGGCCAGTTGCCGGCGGCGGGATCACCTTCACCAGGTTTCCATCGTGGTAGAGGACCTTTACCCATCTGTAGAGGGCGATTCAAAATTACCAGCCTCATTTTTGGGGGTGTATTATTGGTCAATAAGGTTCGGGCCCAGGGATTTCAGGTTCCTTGGCTGGCACAGGTCCACGCGCTCGAATTCCTATACCCTACGCACGACAAAACCCTGCAGTCTATCCCTATACGCCACATGATATGAGAAAACGGCAATCCAAGTTTCCAAGCCCTGAACCATAATCAAAAAAGCTCCTGAACAATCCTTTTTCTGAAATCCGGGAACAAAAAATGCCTAAGAATCTTGGAGTCGGGCCTCAGCAGCTCTCTAAACTCTAAACCCCACAGAAATCGATGTCGAAACAATGCAAAGCGACTGAGACGGTGTGACCGCACTCCAAGACCTCATGGGCCTCCCCTAGCTGCTGCGCAGCCACCTCCACCTAGGGTTCTGACGTTCAAGGGGCTATACTCGGGGTGTAGGATTTAAGGTTATGTAGGGATAATGGAAAAGAAAATGGACATTGCATTTTGGAGACCAACACTTCGATACTCAGCCACCTCGTTGTAGTCGGAGTCTGCCAGAACCAGCTTCTGATCATCTTTGTACCTTAAATCTGCCAAAGACAGACTTGTATAGGCAGTCAAATTTAGAGGCCCTTGTATTAGGGATGGCCTGATTGATCCCAAAAAGATTTCATTTGAGAATTCACCATATTACCAAGAGGCTCTCACTTACCTACTTAATGCCTTCAGCATTCCAGAGTAGTGTACCCCGACGGTCGCTATCATGATACTGACATATTTTCGGACAATGACAAGTCAACTCCAGGTGACCACCTTGAAAGGGCCAGGGTCAGGAGCAGGGTGCCCGCCAAACATCATCCCGCAAAATGTTGGAGCTGCAAAGCCTTCCTGGCAAGGGCCTCTCAAAGCTAACATCTTAAACACCCCGAAAAACCTGTTCCGATCACGACTGACTGAGAGAAACTCCGAACTAGGCACATGACTGGCATCGACACCCTTTCGCACTCAACCACTTCCAGCTTTTCTGTCCTCGAATATGGCTGAGGTGCGATGTCGATTTGAATTTCGTGAGTATGGCATTCAGGTATACAACATACAACATGTTGCTCAAAACAGGCCAGTGTCTCTTTCAGCTTCCTGGGCGTTGTGGAAACTACTACATGGCCTAGATCCCCAAGGAAACATCTTCGGCTCTTAAATACTTATTGGGACTGTGCGCGGCTCTGAAGCTGCAAGAGTAGTCACTTCCCCTGACATTCAGCCCAAAACCTAAGAGTCAAGCCGACCCCCAGTGTGTTGGGGGGGTGGGCCAGCGCGACTCTGCAGGAATAACACAAAAACGCATGACAACTCCAACGAACTGGTGCTCATTCAAGCCTGGGAACGCATCCCTATCGTAGCCCTTACATATACACAGGTACATACATGTAGATTCCCTAAAAGTCGCCAATAATCCATTCCCTTAATCCCTACAAAGCGCACAGGCCCTTAGCCTTGTGGAAATGAAGTCCTGGGGGGCTTCTGGGTCAGAGATAGGTATTCTTTAGGGACTTGGAACTTTGAACCCTAAACCCTGATCCCTAGATCTTAAACCTAAACTCAAACCCCTAAATCTTACACCCTGAAAAACCCTAAATCTTAAACCCTAAACCCATGAACCTCCAACTAGGGCAGAGCTTAGCCCAGGATCATCTCGCGGGCTTTCCGCGTCTGGAGCTCCCGATAACGAATCCTTAGTTAGGTTACTGGTTCTTAGTAGGGAATAAGGGAATCTAGAGGTATAGTCCCCCTTAAGTAGATAGAATATGGCTTTGGGCATATTATAATAAGATCCCCATATACCCCATAATCTATCTACTTAAGGGAGATTCTATAATGTTATATTGGAATCATGGAAAACAACATGGAAGCGACTATGTAGGGTCAAGGGCTTAGGTCGGTAGGGAATAAGGGAATATAATCGTTATAAAACCCTCTATAGCATCTTTCCTTCTTCCCTACTAAGAACCGGCGCCGGTGCACGGCTTAGGGTTTGAGGTTCATAGGGTTGACAAGCTTTGGGCTTAAGGTTTATAGAGTTAGGGATTAAGGTTTCCAGGGTTTAGGGCTGAGAGGGTTTCCGGTTAGGGGTCCGCACCCAACATTGACGGCTTCAGGGTGAGAATTAAAAGCCAGAGTGGTGCAGTTGGAGCTGATCCCATAACACGCTGGTGGTATCTTGCCATTCCACCATGGCTACTAAAGGCTTGCTGTGTAAGGGCATAGTGTTCACAGGTTGCAGGTTTGAGGGGGTATAGGGGTATAACGTTATATAGGAATTACTAAAAAGAAAATGTGAACGATATCCCCAATAATCCCTATGCAAGCCCTTTCATACCCATACCCTATAATTCCCAGAGTCCCGAATTAATCCCTACATAACTTTAAGAAACACCCCTAACGCCCCTTAAAAGAAAATGAAGTCCCAGGATCTCGAAGGCCCCATCGGCCGATCGCCCGTGGCCGGCCGGTTTTGAGCTCCGGACCTACCCCGACACTTACCCAAATAGCCCAATGTACTACCCTAATAATGGAGAATCAAATGGAAAAACAAATGGAAAATGAAATGGAAACTAAGGGTTTATAGGGATGTATAGGGATCCAAATAGGCCAATGTAGGTACTATTTATAGACTTTGGGGCCCAATGTAGGGATTATTTATAGACATGGAGCCCCAGGGTCAGTGCTGGCGGGTAGGGAATTAGGGAATATGGGGGTATACTGTTTAAGGTTTAGCCATGAGGGGTTGGAGCTTAAGGTGTAGGGTCAATAGGGAAAATCGGGTATACTGTTACGGGTTTAGGGTCTGGGGTTTAGGGTTTAGGAAATGGAGTTGCATGAGGGGTTTGAAGACTCGGGGTTTTTGCGTTTAGGGCTTGCTTCAGGGGCTGGCGGCTTCAGGGGTTACAAGGGTGTCATGGAGTTTACGGGTCATAGAGCTTCAGGAGAAAGGCTGCAGGCATTATAATGCGGTTGTAGGTTTTAAGGCGGCTATGGGGGCCTATAGGAATGGAGATATAACTGGGTACACTGGAGCAATAGTGTCCTATAGGGTTTGGGATGACAGGGTATAAGTATCAGGATTAAGGGTTTAGGGTTTAGGGTTTAGGATTAAGGGTTTGGGGTGTTGTTTAGCTATGAGGACCTAGCTGATCTTGGAAGTCAGGGTCTGCATCCCTCTTGCATCTCGCAGTTCCGGGTTGAGTTAATCGCTTACCCCACGGTTAAGGGTTTAGGGTTTAGGGTTTAGGGTATTACACGACCTCCCCCCTGACATTAAACAATCGGGGGCCCAACAAACCATTTTTTGCCGCTTGCATGGCCAAACAAACTATTTAATATTATGGGATATGCTTATATATCATATTAAGGGGAATATTAATTCATAGGTAGGAGGCCCCTTTCCATTGAATTTACTATTTCTTCAAATGGGACTGGGATTACATAGTGAGTGGCTTTGGAATGTAGGGTTCAGGGTTTTGTCATTGCGTTGGACTGTAGAATACAAGCTTGTGAGGGTTAGGTTTCGGGGCTTAGGCGCCAGGATTTTGATCATTCAGGGAGCCAAGCATGTTCAGGAAATTGAAGGGATCCAGATCCATTATTTGAACTCCAATTATATGCGGTTGAGGTACTTGAGCATTGTGGGAAGGGTTAGGGTGCTAGGGGTATGGGTCCATTGCTGATCCTTGCCAAACCCATACAGAGTCAGAGGTGGGTTCTAAGATCCTTTTCAGAAATGCAGCCGGGGGCCCTATGACTTGGTCGACTTTGCCCTGGTTGCAGAATTGATAGGTTACCAAGCAGATGACATGCCCCAAGATTTAGGGCTTATACGTTCGTAGCATGACGGTTTCTGACCACACAGTGAGAATCTCATGGGAGGGCCGGGGCTTGCACAATACGTAGAAGTTTGGAAGCATTCCCCTTGTGCCTACCCGGAGCTTTGAAGGGAAATAGGCTGGTAGGTACAGTACCCCCTGACAACCTCCGTCGCCTCGCAGTAGATGCCCTTGCGCAAGAAAACAGATCCACGCTGCAAGTCGGAGGATGCCACGAGCGCGCTCGAAGCGCCACGGAGGCAGAAGGCCGTCGTCATGGTGACCTGTAGCAGATTGTAGCAGTCTAAGGCTGTCTTTGACAAAATGATGGGTCCACATGCGGTGTTTCGGCTTAGTATCTTGGCGGTCGGATTTTCTTTCTGAATGATTCTGGGACTCCAATGACAGACTGGGAGCCGCACAAGCAATGAAAGATTCAGGGAACGTGCAAAGCTGTACTCAAGGCAGGGGGGACCAGGAACAGTGTCATCATTGCGCAGTATCTGTGGCCCTGGCAACTTGGACTCCAGAGCCTGCCATGAAGCTGAGGCGGGCACGCGCGAGCGCAGAAGCCGGACATCCATAGCAAGTGCTGAAATCATGCTAAGATCTTTCTTGTGGCTGTAGCGGCATGTCTCTCAAGCACACCCTTCAGAACCGGTCATGTAGGCCTATTCTTGAGTTGCTGATACTTGTCATGGTGGTCACCTACGACACATGACAGCATTGTTTTCGCAACAATGCTTGTACACAATTAGGGGGGCACCTTCATTCATGTTGCAAAAACAGACCAGGTCGTACAGAAAATACCTATCTTCGTGCACTGCCGCCTATGCCATAGATTGGGACTTCCAAGAATAGGGCCCGAAATGTAGACCTCAATATGATGTGAGCGCTACTATCACTACAAAGATTTTCGTTATCTTGGGAAACCCTACACCCTACAAACCACCACGTAAGCCGAGTTTCCATTTCAATGTCCATCATCTTTTTCATCGAAATCTCTGCTATCTGGCATAGTATCATGATTCTGGGACGGCCTAACATCTATAAGCCCCTTGGTAAATGTCCCCTAATGTTGAGGAAGCCCTAGATTGTGGACTGCGGCTGACAAGCTCGTGGCTACGAGTCGCGCGCGAGCTCTGAGCAATCTTGGAGGCGGAGGTCCCAAGACCCTTGTGGTGGTGATTGGGTTTAGGGTTTAGGGTTTAGGGTTTGGTTCCCTTAAAGAGTTATGGGATTAGGGTAATACTAATCGAGAAGATGGAACATGAAATAGAAACTGGGATTATCACGGGTTATATTCGGGTAATATAGAGGTTATAAAGGGATAACTATAGTATGTTGGGGTAATAGTGGTATAATAGAACAGAAAATGGAAACTACTACTGTAAATCAAGGCAGCATTGGGATAATTAATGGAAAAGAACATGCAAACTACTATTTAGAAGGTGGGTTAAAGGGCCCATCTAAGGGGATACATTTGGGGCTGCTACAGGGATCCATTCCCCCATTTCCTTCGACTACCAGTCAGACACCCTAAACCTTAAACCCTAAACCCTAAGTAAACCCTGCTACTATAGTATCTTGCGGTAATATCATACAGGGGTTAGACGCAAGGTTCTGGGCTCCAGCGCTTGGGGCTTCTGCGGTTCACACAGGGCTGTCCATGGAAACTACAGCAACCTTTTACAGGTTGTGCAGGGGATGTATAAGCGTATGAAGGGAGATATGTGTATATGTCTGTGTAGAGGAGAGACACACAGATAGACAGAGACAAAGAGAGAGATGGGGTATTAATGGCAAAGACCTCCTGTGACAAGGTTTCTGGGGCAAGTCCTGAACCCTATATTTTAGATGCCCCTGTCGACTAGACGACTGACCCTGACTCCTACACCGCAAAGCATATAGCGTATGCCCTCCCCTCTTGCCCGGTCCTCGCTGGAACTCAACTTCAGCGGAAGGCGCCGGGGCGGATCTGTCATTGGCCGCAGGAATCACATGCACTAGCTAGAGTCTGTTGATAACACTTGGCTCTGATAACCCACAAAAACACGAAGGGTGGTTGATTAACAAATATTTGGTCGCTGGAAGCGCTATATGAACCAGTTTCTATTTCATTTTCCATCTCATGTCGCAGTGTTACCCTAATCTGAGAATTAGCCCTCAATCTTACTTACCCACATGTCCCTTGTTACATCATACTTCTTCTGGCCTTCCGGTGCCGCGTTGGCTTCTGACTGTCAGCAGTACCAAGCACTAGTTGCGATCCAGATACCCCCAACTATGTCAGGGAGAACCTTCCAGGATCCGGAACCGGCAGCATGAAAAACTGTACCGGCTGTCTGTTTTCTTCCGCTCGTCTAAATCCTCAGACCAGCAACCCTGAAGCTGCCAACGGACCTGCTGTTGCTGCACGCTCGGTAGGCTTGGCAAACGTCAGCGACGAACCATCTTGCCTGCAGGTGGTGATCTGGCAGAGGTGGTGGTGGAGGCATGGTTGGTGAAACGATCATCGCGCAAATAGTAGGAAGGATAGCAATGGTGGCACCGTCGATGACGACGTAAATTGCAAGATTGCTTCTCACAGCACAGAGTGGACATAGTCAAAGGAAAGCACGTAATCAATCACAGTATTACTGCAGGACAACCAAAGCAAGGTCATGCTGGCTAGTAACGGCTAGTACATCTCAGCTTTGATCATGGCTGATGTCACAGCCAGAGCGGACATTAAAACAACATCGGACTTTCATTAAATGATACGCGAAACAGGGCCGCAACTAGGTGCGAAACCCATAGGTACGTACGAACTAGGCGCACTGGAGTAGCTCCCTGTCCTGTGTTACACATGGGGTAGGTTTGAAAAGTCTACCCAAGCAGAGTCAAAACTCTAAAGCCATTGTCGTCAGGACTTTGCAAAGAAACGCCTTTTCACCATATTGGAGGGTCCATGCGCAAATTTGTTTAGCGTTGGATACCTTTCGCAAAAGAACTCGGGCACTGCGCGCGTTATCCCATGGGGATGACTAAACTCCCTTAACGCATAGGAAGCTTCCAAGCAGGATGCGGGCGCCTTCCTGGCCCCACAGCTGGTGCCTCAGCCAGCAGATGACACCAAGGACTTACCTAAATCCTCCAAAGCGGCGCACTGATTGTTGGGGTATGTTGCAGTTTGATAGTTGGGACAAAAAATCTTGAGTCACGACGCCCAAAACCTGGAGGACACCGTGACGCCCAAAACTCCGCGTAGGGAACGCACAGTGACACCCGAACTGTGGAGGCATCACAACGTGACACCGAGCACTCCAAAGGGATCACACTGTGGCACCCTAAATTCTGGAGGGATCACAACTCTAAGGTGTGGTAGTTACTCCGAACTCTAAAAGCTCGGAAGGGCAGGGTGTGGCGGGAACGGTGGGTGGGAGTAACCATAATATGGGGGATGTACAAGGAATGCCAGGGGCCCATGCAAACCCCAGCCATGGTTGCACCCTGAATTCCAAGAGTTGTCTACTCCCAAATCAACCTGACTTCGCACCGAGCTCAACATGAAGACTTGGGCTCTAAAGCATGCTTGCTTACATCTGCAAGACCCAACATGCAAGGCTTTTCTGGCCATATGATGCCATATGACTCCGAATAACTATGTATTTGTAATATTTGTAAAGGATGCTTCGAAAACACCCGAATCCTGGCTTGGATATGAAGCACTCGGGGGCCCCACACGGGATGTGCTTGGAGGTCGCTCCGGGTCGTAGATTCCTGCCGAAAGCACCGCTCCCATAGCAGGGCTCAGGGGTTGAGTTCATGGCATGTGCCTGGGATATTCTGGGTTGCTGTTAAGGAACTTAAATTAAGTTACTATATTGGGGAACCCTATTATCTACTATATATACCCATTATGGTAACTTAATTTAAGTTCCTTAACAGCAACCCAGTATTGGGAGCATGTTGATAGAGAGCTCACGACTAGTTTGAAAGCTAGCTGCCTAAACCAGGCATACCGCAAGTAGAGTTGCTCTCAGGGGTTGTTGGCGACCATTACGGTCAAATACGGTAAACAGCTTCGGGAGAGCGAGCCGAAGGCAAGCTTTGCACCAATGATTGTAGAAACTTGCTCTTCTACAAAGGTAGTGTTCCGGGCTTGTCCCAGAAAATCTTCAGATAAAGGGATGGCAGATTGTGAAGAAAGGAGCCTCTGGGAACCTGGGGATACAAAGGGATTACAAAGGGACCAGCAGAGCTTAGCAAGGATGATAGATTCAAGCTTATTCTGAGAAACTGAAGGCTAAATTGTCATTAGGTTCAAGATATGCTACATTATCAGAAATGGCTTCCTGACAGCACGACTGTTTGCAGGATTGCGAGGACAGTGTGCGGCAGTTTCGGCTTCTGGAGACGATTACACTGCATGAAGTGTAGGCACTTTGGCTTTGGAACCCCAGAATACACGCCGAGGTTCTTAAGTAGCCCTGAAATCACAGCTACTTCCTGCCTCATCTTGCCTTGCAAGACCGCCCAAGTTCGTCCAAAAAAGCCCTGAAGAAACCAAACCCGCAGGCTCCCTTGGGCTCTGAGGTTGGCAGCGGAGGTGGAAAGGCAGCACCTCAGAAGGTTGAGAATGTAGCTTTTGGCCATGGGTTAGCGATGGTATATATAACATGGCTGAGAATCAAAATTACGCCTCCAAATTTGAAGGCAGCCCATGAGATCACTCAGCCAGCTACAGGAATTCCTGGAAACATTCTTAGGCTCAAGTACTGAAAAACAGGGAGTGGAGTCGACCAGAACTCTGACAGTAACGTGACAAGCAGCATGGGTTCTGGTGCAGCCTGACATTGACTTGACGAGATGTATGGGCCGAGTTGTACTTCATGACTTTGCAGCCAAAAGCCAGTGAAGCCTCCTTTTTCTGCAAGTCCGGTAACCCAAGCACATGCAATCGAAACAACTATGCTGTCAAAGGTAGTCGATTTTCCATGCCCATGCTGGCCCGATGAGCCCCTGTAAAACTGCAGTTCAAAAACATACATGACCCGTACATTTACTCTCAACTGGCCCTTGAGCTCTAGACTCCGGATCCGCAATCTTGAAAACACCATTTTATATTCCACTTCCCATCACATATCTAGCACCTTGGCTTAGCATTCATTTGGCAATGCACGGAATATATCAAAGTAATCTTTTTCATCCACTCCTCCCTGACTCAGCAAGATTAGCGTGGTCCTGACCAACTGAAGATGTGAAACTGGTTGATGGTCCGCTGTATATGTTCTCGATAAATGAAGCAATCCTTAGGCATTGATTCCTACATGTATGTGTATATCCTTACAACGATAGAGACCCTAGTTGAAAAGAGCTGAGCTCCTTGCCGTCCGCCTCCTGTGGAGGAGCTGGCTGGGGCCTGGGCTTGTAGAAGGATTTGAAGAGTTCTGGGTTTAGGGTTGTAGGCGATTAAGCGCTAAGGCTTCGATGCTTGTAACGTAGTGAGAGGATTCAAGCACATTTCTCTTGTGCCTAGCGATGTTTTTCAAGGTGGTTAAGGGGAAGTCTGGAGATTTTTGCCGCTGCTTAGGTTTGCAAACGCAGCGATTAAAGAGGATCCAGCAACTCAAAGAACATGAGGGCTCAGGGTATACCCCAAGTAGGGATCCAACAGTCCAACGTAGGTAATATTCATAGACTTCATATTTGCATACTTGGTTCCCTGGGGATAGGATTTAGGGTGTCTCGTGACTGCTGGGTGCTCGAGCTTTCCCATCCTCAATCCATCACCTGCGCCACGCAAAAAGATGGCACTCTACATGAAGCTCCCCCCGCCAGGATGTCTACCACGTTCATTCCAGAGGAGCAGGATCCACTATCAATACAAGTGATTTCGGCGAAGTCGGCAGCTCCCAACTTCGCATCTGAAATTGCAATTTCGGACGCACAAATGTGCCGCCGCTGTGGTTTTAACACCAGAACCAATCGTGTCATCTACTGCTTCGGCAGTATGTGCTCCATCCGAGCTTCACTTGCTCACTCTTCTATCTTGATGTTCTGGGGTGGGTGGGAGGGAAGGGGTGAGGGTGGGGGGGTAATGACGCAAGCCGCAGACTTCTGCAGAAAGCTCCAGGGAAACCGCACTGAAGGGTCATTGCCATTGGGGCCTACCTCAAGATAGAAGACTGAGCAACTCAGGTTCGGATGTATCATCTTGATAAAACAATAACTGACGATTTTCATCATGTGCTAGAACCACAGCGGGGGCGCAAATGGCGGCACGTTCGCGCATACGCAGAGTTGGGGCTTGCAAAACTAGCCGAATTCAGTTGTATTTGCAGAGGATCCTGCTGCTATGCACTGAACTGATGGTCTTTGTGGGGTCCTGCTGGGGTTCCTCCGTGGAACGTTCTGTTCGATTGGGACAAATCCAATGGCCTCAAGCATCCTCAAAACCCAGTGGTAAGTAAGCCGTCAAAGGTCATGGCATGGGTTGCCTGCAAACCTCGCAGTATACAACCTTTGTAAGGCTTGCTCTTACACTATCCTTGCCCCCAAATGCTGGGGCTTCCTGGAGTTACATAGCCAGATCCAAGCACCCCCAATCAAGGAATCATTCCTGCCCAGCCTTTCATTCTCAGCTTACCAACAACCAAGATCAGCCCCGAGCCGACCCGGAAGAGGAGTCACTGATCGCGCCTGCAAAGGCCCGGCCCCACAGCATTGCAATCATAGTGCCGTTTTAGGCGATTCGAGGAATGCTTCAGGCTTAGGATTTGGGATTACAGACTTGGGCTGCTGTGTAGGGAGATTCGGGCTTAGAGTCAGCAGACACCATCCTCCCCCAGCACGCACGTTGGCGCATCGTGTTGCTTGTCATGCACTCTGAAAACAAAAGCACGCTGGCCCGCCAGGGTGATGGATGCTCGCCTCCGCGTAGTCCAGCATGCATGATTGTTAAGATGCGGTGATCCCCAAGTGCTGCCCCATACCTCGCCAGCTTTCAACAGTTGGCAACACCGCGCTTGCATTAAGCTCTCAGGGTTCTATTTCATGACCCATTGGGGTAGGGCGAAGAAAGTCGAAGCTCAACAGCCGGGCCAGGACAACGCAGGCCTCCATATTGGGAGTCCTCACAGTGAGCCTCTTGGAATCTGAGCAATACCGGTGCTTTTCCAGTACCTCACCAGCCCACTACTGTTGAATTTATTCCAGAATGGCCTGCTCTCCTGCTAGGACTACAGCCACACTTTCAGAATAAGAACCACAACAGAAATCAAACAGGCATAAACATACCAATTTTTCCGCAACATAGTACCCCTAAACGACTCAACTCTGTCGGATTTAACAAGGCAGCCCAACGCTTTCACACGTTGGTACCGTCTGGCACTGGCCTTCCTGCCATTCTCGTTTCGGTGGCTCTCCTTGTTCCCACGCCGGTCTCCGTCCTTGGCACCCGCAGTCGGTGGAGACATAGAGAAGGTATGTAATACAGAAATATATACAAATATGGAAGGGCAAAAAACTGAATCTTGTATTGCGCGTGGGGCATGTCAGGGTAGAAAACCCTGTTCCCCTGTGCATGCAGTGTGTTCATAGCTGCTTCGTTTCTTGACTATCGTGTTCTACGTCTTGCACCCTCCCCTTTTGGTATCGCAGTTCCATGCCATATCGTTTGTTGCAAAAAATTGCGCTTCGCTGAGCGTCACGACATCAGCCTCTGGCACTGGGATAGTATACAACCCCACGTGGCCCAAAAGCATACGCATGAGAATGAGTTGCCATTGAAGCTCCTATTGGATCTTGATGGCTCCTCTTTCTATTTGTGCTACGCGGACCTAGAATCGAAATCGAATGCGCCAATTTGCGGTCAACCTAGATGAGCTGAGGCCCTGGCCCGATCCCTCTCTCGATCCTTTTCTCTAGCCCGTTCCTTCTCCCTCTCACGTTCCCTTTCCCTTTCCTTTTCCTTGTCTCGTTCGTAGTCCTCAGCCGACTACTGAGTCTCACATGCTCGCTTGAACCACGGCTGAGCCCTCTTCAAACCCTCGCAGCATTGATGAAACGTGCCGACCATGTGGCTAGCTCGACACATGACTGAGCCCCCGGCTTTCTGGCGGTTCCTGTCGCGGTCGTGGTCCCGGTCTCTTTCTCTTTCACGCTCCCTTTGCTTTGATCTTTCCCGGTCTCTCTGCCTCGAACGTTCGCGTTCTCTGGGCTTGGATCGTTCTTTGTCTCGACCATCACGATCCCTAGCGTGCCTGTCACGGTCGCGATCTCTCTCGCGGTCATCCCGGTCACGAGACCGCTCCCTTTCACGGCCTCTGTCCTTCTCGCGCTGCTTGTCTCGATGGTCCTTGTCGCGATCTTTGTCACGATCCTTGTCATGCTTTTCATCCTGGCGGTCTCTCTCCCGTTTGTGATCACCATCTCGCTCCTTGTCGCGGCGGCGATCCTCCTCTCTATCTTTATCTCGGCGCCTGTCATCGCGGCCTGACTCCCGTCTCCGGTCATCCTCACGATCCCGGTCTCGACGCCTCTCGTCATCACGATCCTTTTCCCGCCTTTTTTCCTCTTCCCGGTCTTTGTCTCGTCTACGGTCATCTTCACGTTCTTTGTCTCGCCTCCTTTCCTCCTCCCTGTCTCTGTCTTTTCTCCTGTCCTCTTCGCGCTCTTTGTCGCGTCGTTTCTGTTCGCGCTCCTTTTCTCTTCGGCGCTCCTCCTCACGCTCCCTGTCTCTTCGTTTCTCCTCCTCCCTTTCCTTTTCGCGCTTCCTCTCCTCTTCCCTTTCCCTTTCACGCTTCCTCTCTGCCTCGCGCTCCTGCTCTCGCCTCCTCTCCTGCTCACGCTCTGCTCGCTCTTTTTCTCGTCTTTTCTCCTCCTCACGTTCGCGCTCGCGCCTGAGCTCCTCCTCCCTCTCCTTCTCACGCCGCCTTGCTTCCTCGCGCTCTTTCTCGCGTCTGCGCTCTTCTTCACGCTCCTTCTCCCGCCTTCTTTCCTCCTCTTGCTCGCGCTCTCGTCGTCGCTCCTCCTCCTTGCGCTCTCGTTCGCGCCTTTCCTGCTCCTCACGCTTCTTGGCCTCTTCGCGCTCCTTCTCCTTCTGCTGCTTTGCAACCCGATCCTGCTCTTCCCTTTTCCTGGCCTCGCGATCAGCGGCTTCCTTCTCCTCTTTGCGTCGACGCTTCTCGTCTCGCTTATCCTTCTTCCTGTCATCGTTTCGAGCTTCCTCCTTGGCTGCTGAGGGCGCCCTCACCTTTGTACTTCCATCTTTGCTGATCACATCCTTGTTCAGCGGCTCCAGGTCCTTTGCCTTTTTCTTCTTTGGAGTCTGCTCCTTTTCCTGCTCCTTTTCCCTTGCCTTCCTCTTCTCCTTCTCCTCGGCTTCGCCATTCCTTGCTTTTGCTGTGCTTGCATCACGTCGAGGCTTGTCCTGCAATTCTGGAAACTCCCCAGCCAAAGTGCAAGAACCTCTCATTTTCGCTTGTATGTTCAGAGAACCCCCTCCAGGGACTAGTCCAAACAGCACAGCCGCTGATTAACCCCTTCCTCAATACCTCCATCACTCTAAAATTAGACATCGCCCCTATAACAGATCTGTGAATATTGGGTGACACGTTCAAGATGAGTTCAAAGTTAGGAAGTAGGGAGGGTTCAATGTGCGGGCGAGGTGATTGTCAACCATGCGTGTCCTCGCTTTGCTGCTTCTTTGCCTGCAACACTTGAGAAGGGCGTGTCTGCTTCCAGCTCAGCATCGAAAGGAATTTCCATGGTGCATCGAGCACACGCAAGTCAATGACACTGCAAGAAACGAAAGCTAACTAGCCCTTCGTCAAAACAGAAAGAGGAGTCTATGTCGAACAGCATGGAGCACTTTTGAATGTTTACTCCAGCAGAGGCAGCCTTCGCAGCTCTGCATGGATTAACCACATCCTTGGCAAGTTGTAGAGCCTCCACTCTGACAAATGCTCTCAGACCCCGAAGTTTAGAAACACAAGCAAGGGCGGATCGGATCTTGCGAGTTGCACAACCACACACGAGGACTCCGCTACATAAACTTGTAATGAGACCCCAGTTCCCAAAACTCTGAACCTCAGTCATGTCTGACCTCTGCAAAAAAGGATGAATCAACCGACGGCCTCAAAGCAGGGCAACCAATTCTACATAAGTATACCTAAAACCAGGATACAATTGTACTCTCATTGGGCGGTATAGACTCCCTGTCGAAAATGCTACGCATGTCAGGGGGACTGCGATAGCGGAGTGATCCTAGCACACTTTGGGATTCGGGTCTTTTCCATCATAATTACCCGCTACTGCAAGCATCTCTAAATTCATACCAATGATCGTGGCTCTGGATACTGTTGTCATCATGGTTGTTCACAGGATCACTGCCACGGCCGTGATCATCATGGTCATTCCGATGCTTCCTGAAAACTTACTAGAACTGTAGAAGAGCCTTGGAAAAGTTGCCGGTATTCGTTGCAGCGACTGCTGGCGGGTGGGGTGGATCACCCAAATTGTGTTCTACTTGCCGGCCTTTCGACTCTTCTGAGCTTCAGCTGCTTTGGCTGCCTGCATGCACCGCGAGTGCACAACTTGAAGGCAAGGGCAAGCAAAAGAACACAGGACATCAGCTCTTCAAGTTCCAGGCTCTGCAGACTTGGCCAGCCTCATATCCCCTTGCCCCTCTTGGGTGCCCCGTCTGTTAGAGCAGCGCTTTCATTAAGGAATAACTAGAAACTCAAAGACAAAGAGGATTCTGACAACCGTGACCCAATCATGGGGACAAGGACTTTCCTACCAACTCTCAGGCCTTACAATCTAGATTCGTCTGAACTCTCAAAGTCGGATCGATAAAAAGCCCCAGCCCGGTGCCGCCGCGGCGGCGGCACTCTCCCTGCGCCGGCGGTCCTCCTCCTGGAAGTCTGAGATACTGTTACTGCCACTAATCAAAAAGCCGACCTCAAGATGCTCGGAGGGAACATGGTGAGCAAAGGCAAATACGGACTCCCACAAATGTAGCCCAAGAACCTTTTATCCGAACTGCACGGGCCCCCAAAAAAAGCGGAGCCCGTGATATTTCGCAACTTTCACATGGGATTGACTTGTTCATCACTGCCCGGAGCTACCTGAGGTCTGCGCACATGTGACATGGATTCCTGCTCTGGCTTGTTCAATACTCTTGCTCTCGCTGCGACCATCCGGATATCAACATCAATGATACCACTGTTGCGGTCAGGCTTTAGGAGCCGGAAAGGTTTGCCCACACTTTTCCCCTGGCAACATTCGGGAAGTGTCCACGCAATCACTTCCGGCTCGAAGCAAAAAGACACACGGCAACAGCTTCTCAGCTAGCTCTGGTTTTCAAGGGCTATGACCCAGATTCACAGACCCGTCCCCTGATTACCGCTTTATAAGCCTCAGAAGCCACAAGCATGAAAGCACCTGCCAGGGTGCTGGCTTATCCTCAGGCCCACTACTGCAGCAAAAAAGCCTTCTGTTGATGTAAGGCTCCTTTGGCGTTTCCATGTTAGCCCTTGGGAGAGATACACCCTCAAGACTACACATCCGGGTACATCCTTCTTACCCCGCTCTACTATCTATGAAGCCTGTCATGGAGATGGGACAGGGCAGCTGATGTCAATTGCGTCCTCTTCCTTCTCCTTGTCTTTGGAGCGGAGAAGTGGCGCCTTCTTGGGCGAACTGGACGACTCCTCGGCGCTTGAGAGAGGGATGCATGGAGGTGCAGCAGTGCAGGCAAAGACTACAGTAGGCCCCTGATTGATGAGCCCCTTCTCTTCTACAACTGCCCACAAACTGGGATCCTGCGTCAGTACACTTTTGCAAGGAGGTGAGTGACTTGCATGGATCTTGATTACGCTTCGGGACGTTTTGGGTTAGGGCCGCTCTCTTGCACGTCTATGCAAACTTGTCGCCAACGCATTCAGTACTGTTCCTCTGTTTTGTGTAGAGACCCTCTTTAATGTGTTTTTGCCACCGCTTATTCAGGATCTGGCCATTGTTGGGAAGACCCTGTTTTGTGTGTTTTGGTTGCGGGGCCCTAAAAGTACGGGACCGAATCCAGACCAAGTAATCCCCAAGGCCTCCCTTGGCCCTCAGTACCGCGGGTGCCTTATTCAGGGTCCCTAATTTCTATGTTTCGGAGGGCCCTATTGTTAAGGGGGGGGCCATAGAGTTTAACGAGAGTCCAACATTAAGGCGCGAAGCTGTACTTCACCCTCAATCCCGCTGAGTCCTTGAACACTGAAGGCTTGCAATGCGATGCTCTGAGCCCACTGAAGGCGGGTATGTATTGTACCCGGTCCTCCTCGTCCTCCTCGCCGTCCTCTTCCTCCTCTTCCTGCAACTCTGTCCCCATTGGGATGAGGGTAAGCGGAGTCCAAGTACGAAAAGGGGCTGTGGGGTCCTTGCATCTGTGGGTGACTTTGGAACCTTCAAGCAGTCCACCCCATACTCTATCAGAACATGCATCCTTACCTCCCCTGCACAAGGCCGGTCAAAGAAACCACTTCAGACCAACTTCCCAGAACCGCCTCAACTTTCCAATCCCTGAAACCTATAAGCACCCGCGTCATTCAACGACGGCCCTTCAAAGTTCTTTCCACCCCCACTCTTCTCCTCCTCATCATCCAAGCTCTCTGCCTGGTCCTGCATTTCATGAACTGCTGAACTGCAACTTCTGGACTCTAAATGATAGTTTCCCAAAATAGGGGGACCCCAATATAGACCCCAAAATACCATAGTCCTTCTTATGGGGACCCCCCAAAATGGTACCCCTAATTTTGCGAAACCCCCAAATAACCTGAAGTGGATACAATTGGTAAACTGCAGCGACTTAAGTAGGTAGTACCCAAGACCTAGAGACTGGTCAGGCTAGGCTGGGAGCCGCAGGTTGAAAATGCAGCCGGTTGCCGGAACCACACAGAAGGGCTTGACAAAACAGACATATAGTCCCCCTTAAGTAGATAGAATATGGAATTGACCAATATTATGATCCCCATATACCCCATATTCTAGCTACTTAAAAGGGACTATAGGCATGTTCAGGAGAGGCTGTGCCACCAAGCAGATGCACGGGATTAGTCTTACGGTACTTGAACTAATAACTAGGTTACCACAACATGGATCACATCGATGCAGAAATGACAAATAGGGTTTCCGAATTTTGGTCACTTAGGTTAAGCTACTTAACAGCAACCTGGCTTTCTTCAGATAACGCCTCAAGTAGATACTGAACGTGAGGCTCTTGCAACAGCGTTTTGCTCCTCAGAGTCTCTTTCCACGGCTGCATACCTGCGAATGGCTAACAATAATTCTCGTCCGGTGGTTTTGTTTATTAAAGCATCCATAAGCATCCTACTACTTGGAGGATGTTCAGGGGAACCTACTTTTCATTGATAACCAGCCATCAATTCACTGGTCCATGGCAGACCCCTCGCCATACACCGCAATGTGCAGATATCCTAAATCGCTGCAGACGCGAATGACAAACGGAACTTACATAATGGCGATGAGTATCATTCTAACTTAAGAGCATCCTCATCCATGCAAGAACTCCATGAATTCAGGCTGGGACAGAAGTAGCCTCGACTATGTGGGATCATCGAACAGCCCCCGCGTCTAATCATCTGTCTTGCAATGAAGCACACCGACCGTTGGAATGTTGAATGCTCCGCCTTAATCACGCCGCTGAATATGTAAACCTCCTCATGATAGCACGTTCATACCATAACGGCGAGAATAATTTTCAAAAGCAGGAGACTATGCAGCCAAAGCAGTCGCGCAACAGAAGTGCTGGGTCCCATGTGGGAATCACAAGCAGCGCTGGAACAACAAGTCCTGAATCCCGAAACCATGAAGCCCAAATCCCTAGCCCCCAGAGCTTGAACCATATGGGGGTTTCCCAGTACCTTTTTAAGGGTCCAGATTTTACGGACTATGGTACTTTGGGAGTCTATATTGGGGTCCCCATATTTTTGGAAACTACCATATCATATCTCTTCGAGCTCAACGCCAAAGGCCTAGGCCATTAAAACAACGCCTTGCAGGCGCCACAGGGCTAGCGCAAACCTGGGCCATAAGGCTCCAAGGGCTTATTGGATCCTTGCAACTCCAGGTCCTGGAGCTGTTTCTGTGTACCAATACCTGTGGGTTCTGCCGCCACCCTACGACACTTTTCGCTAAGTGAAAGCAGCTCTGAAACTAGAAATGAGTCAGCCCACCTTGTGTCCATTCTCTTTCCACACCACAATTTGGATTTTCCATTCATCATGTGTGCTTGGAGGGTCTAGGCTGAGGTAGGATTCAAGTTGCAGGGGTGGTTGCGAGTTGGCGCCCTTCACAGATCTCCGATGCCCTGCGTGCAGAGAATTGAATTCAAGCAAGGGGAATGCTGGCTTTTCACTACTGGGCGAAAGTACTGGGAGTATTCCTTTGATGCTAGTTCTGCTTGAAGGTAGCCTGGAGTCTCCAGGCCCACTTGGATTGGGGTCAAGCTATATAGGCCCCTAGTACCGGATACTCGGGCCATAATAGAGATGGCAGTTGGAGGGTCTAGGAGCGTTGCCATTAGTTGCCTGAGGCTGGCACCTTGGGGATCGGAGACGGAGGATTCCGGGGTCTTTGCCTGCAAGCCCAACACTTGCGTGGTGAGGAAGCTGGCAAGGTTTCAAGCTGCAGAGAATAGGAACTCTTGTAGAGAATAGGAACTTCAATGCAAGGGAAACTCAAATGGCATGGCAGCAAACAACCGCATACGCCTCTTATGAACAAGTTTTCCAAGTGCTTAGGTCTTAGTACTTACAGTTGCAGGCCAGTGGAGAGTCTGGGGATGTGGATTCTTTGGCTCCAGGGCATCGGCATGAAACCTGGTATGACGCGTGCTCTTGTGGATGCTTTCCTTACATTGCATTCCTTCGATGCTAGGGTCTCCAGAAAGACACCTGGGAGGGTTCCAACAGTCCCTATATAGCAGAATTATGCAATTCTGGGGTCCATATTGCACCTTTGGCCACCTCTTCATGGAGGCCCCCATGTGTGTGGAAACCTGTGCCTGCGCGTTTCACCTTTTCCTGTCCGCTTCACCTGTCATTCTATCGTCGCAGGGCCCGAAAGGGCCATTCTTAGGGAGAAATCTCGGGGACCTAGTATATGGGGATAATGGAAACGAAAATGGAAACTACTATAAAATTGGGAGCAGGAGGTGAATAGGGATCTTTCCTCTTGGCGTCTGGTTCCTCTTTTGCGCCTTATTCACACGTATTGGTGCCCTGAGATGCTATTCAGGAATGGGGGGAAACTTGTGGATGACTTTTGGGGCGGGGTTCTTACTTTGTTTTGGGGCCTTGGGGACTGCAATGTAGAGTGCAGGGTTGCAAGGTAGTAGCCTGCAATTGCACTTTCTAACGAAGTTCACCTTGCTGGCAGTTGTAATGAAATTCCTGACACCCGGTTCCTCAGAGCACAAAGAAGGGCATCCTAAGTGCACTTGGACCTTACAGGGGCCTTAGGCACATGGAATGCGGAGTTTTGTAAACCACTCTCACTTTGTGCAGTCTGCCGTGAACCCCTGTACCACTTTGTTCTATCTCTGCTGCAAAGGTCGGAGCTGCGCTTTTGCACACTGTGGGAAATTGTCCGATCCGCTTCACAAAGCAAAACAGAATCGGTACTCGCGTGACTTCTACCCGGCTGCAGGGTGAGCGGATCAGGGTTCATCTGCTGTCTCCTGGGGCCGCTCTGACACTGAAGAAGGACGAACGAAGTGTTCCCAGGGTTTTGGCTTCGCCGTAGTTCTGTACCTCCTCCCAGCCCCGGTAACATTGGGAGAGCGCGTACAATGGGCCCAAAGGTTGAAACACAACAGCATCAGCCAGTGCTCCTGAATCGTGATGGTGATGATGCCAATGAATTTGGGGCAGTGCCTTGGAAAACCTCCCATGCGCTTTGCATTCGGCAGCGGCGGCCGTGTTGGCACCGTGCCACTTTGCCAGGCTTTGCAAGCGGCAAATTCGGGAATCCGAGCAAGGAAACTTCCAATATTAAAAATCGTCATGTTCCCACCGCACAAAGTACGCTCCGCAATTCAGAAATAATCTGGCGGAATTGACAAAGGTCAAGTCCATAACCTGCAGACCAGAGTTCGACACCCGTTTCTGTCTAGAAAGATGTCTTCTTCGAATCTGAAATAGCAAGAAGTAGAGCAGCGCAGGGGATCAGGGAGATATTCGCATTAGCAAAGCGTAAATTTGACCTACTAACCAGCCCTCATTGCCGATCACTGTTCTTGGAACGCAAGAACAATGAGATTTCGATGCTTCGTCGCATCAGTCGGCACTGTCTTTGATTCCTCGCCTGGGCCGACTGGGGGAATGGTCGGGAAACGAGTACCCTCAATAATCAGTTTTGGTCCACTCAAAGCTGAGAGAAACTGCCAATGCCAAACATGTTACTAAGTACTGAGGTGTCTACGTGTCAGGGTGTGTTAATAATCCGAAGCAGTGCCACATGCCGCTCCCTCCGCTATCAAAAGCTCTATATGAGGTTTCCAGACATTCGGGGCCCCTTTTCTTGGGATACGGGCACCTTCTAATTATAAGGACTATTGTACCTTAGGGGATGTACTATGGCCATTACATAGATCCACGTGATGAGCCCTGTAGAATGCTGACGTGATTCCTTCCTACACCCTCAA